GAAATTCAGATTTAAAGACGGCGGGATATTACGCCTGTCAGTCGCCTGACAAAAAGCGTGCACATTTTTCCACCAGATCAACTCTTCCCTCTCAGTTCTCTCTGGTCTCATACACTATGGCCTTTTGATACCTTGTCGACCAACAAATAAAATATTTTCACATTTAAATTCTTAAACATAACAACATCAGAATCATCAAAATTGTAATAATTAACAAAATTAAAGCAGTGACCACTCTCTTGAAATTAAATCAGTTACAATGACAACAACATCAACAACCTCACCTCCCAATTTCACGGAAAACACACACCTTCTCAAAAAAACGAAAAACGGAGCTTTCATGGCTCTCAAAGTTTGAGCACTCCAGGCTCTCATGATCATATATATCACACACGTGAACATTCAAACACATTTTCTCCCCAACCCCATCTCAGGGAAAAAATCTCACCCTCCACCTAATGTTCATAATCAGGATTAACAATTTTAATCTAAGTATCACCACGGTTCTCGGTCCTCAAGCAACCCCTGTCTCCTACACCACAAAATTCACCGACTGGACTACTACCCTCGTAGCTCAACGTAAGGTCATCTCCGTTGACCTCTACTTTGTTGAACTTACGTCTCCTTGACAAGCTCACGACCTCTACCTCGGGATCTCCGTAGCTTTGCCAATTTTTCATATTATAAACATCTCCTTCTTGCACCAAATCAACATCTCCTTGCTGTATAAAATCAACAAATCACTCTTGCACCAAATCAACATCTCCTTGCTGTATAAAATCAACAAATCACTCTTGCACCAAATCAACATCTCCTTGCTGTATAAAATCAACACATCACTCTTGCACCAAATCAACATCTCCTTGCTGTATAAAATCAACAAATCACTCTTGTACCAAATCAACATCTCCTTGCTGTATAAAATCAACAAATCACTCTTGCACCAAATCAACATCTCCTTGCTGTATAAAATCAACAAATCACTCTTGCACCAAATCAACATCTCCTTGCTGTATAAAATCAACAAATCACTCTTGTACCAAATCAACATCTCCTTGCTGTATAAAATCAACAAATCACTCTTGTACCAAATCAACATCTCCTTGCTGTATAAAATCAACACATCACTCTTGTACCAAATCAACATCTCCTTGCTGTATAAAATCAACACATCACTCTTGTACCAAATCAACATCTCCTTGCTGTATAAAATCAACAAATCACTCTTGTACCAAATCAATATCTCCTTGTATAAAATCAACATCTCCCTATTGCACCAAACCAACATCTGCTTGCTGGATAAAATCAACATCACCCTCTTGCACAAAACCTTCAATTTCTCCTAAGGGGGCAGTAGCCCCAACTGCCTGGAAAAATGAATGAAATAAACCCTTACTGCGAGAAGGCTTATGTAGATTTAATTTTTTTAATGAAACCTTAACTTTAATAATTCACTTAAATAATTGTTTGCGTCTTATTAAGCAGGCTATGAAACTATTTCAACAATTTTGAACTGCTTGTTGACAGCGTTTCCCATATGATTGTGTATATGGATCCAACCATAAAAAGTAGTACACTATCAACTTTGTAGCTTAAGGATGGTGTAAAAGGTCTTAACGAAACTTACATTGTAGATATGTTATATGTTACGGCCAAACAGGTGGTTATCTAGCCTGCTAGCCACCCTTTAGAATAGTTTAATCTTTCGCTTCTCCTACCCCTCCCCCACTTCTAACCAAAATATAGATCTTAATTAGAACGGATCCTTGTCTGCATGTTTCGTGATTGTTGTGTGTACAAAACATATTTATATGTTGATTCTTTTGGTCTTTGTCCTTCGCGCGCGCGCTCTCTCTCTCTCTCTCTCTCTCTCTCTTTCTCTCTCTCTCTCTATCTCTCCCGCTCTCCCACTCTCTCTTACTCCCTCTCTCTCTCGCTCTCTCTCTCTCTCGCTCTCTCTCTCTCTCTCTCTACGTACTCTGACTCATAAAAATAAGTTTTGACAACAGTGAAATTGAACGCTCTTGCGCGGAGATACTGATATTCCATCAAGCGCCTCCCCAGGTAACGGATAGGGGGAAAGCCCACCAGATATGGAGGGTACCGGGGAATTAAAATACCCGGGGCTGACCAAAATTAGAACCTACTGCCTTGTAGGAAGTAAAGGGATCCACAAAGGCTAGGGAACCTTACCCAAAAACTAAGGCAGCTGTAAGGATCAGCCCTCCCCCCCCCCTATACGGTGGTGCTCAGAGCTAAAAATCCAGCCAAGGAAAAATATTAACGTTACGTAAGTCAATCAACAGAATAAAACCCGCACGGATACCAATGGAAATCGAACTATGATTGGATATGGACATGATTTTTTGGATTGCAAATTGGAATGCACTAAGCCTGAATGCACCAGAAAATGAAAGATTGTGCTATTTGCGTGTGTGAGGAAAAATGTTCAATATAGCATTCATGAATGTAAATGCTCCAACAGAAGATATGGAAGATCAGGATAAAGAATCCTTTGATGAGACACTGGAAAGATCTATCAAGAGGCACCACGACATGATATTCAAATAGTGATTGGAGATTTTAATGCCAAAATAGGAAAGAAAAAGATAATTAAATAGTTTTATAAAATCCCAACCTCTCACTTCTGATAACCGGGTGCGAATAGTTGCACCCTTACCTTCTTCAGTTCAACTAAAATAAACTACCACAAACGACATCCAATGGGATTTGTGATAGTTTATTTTAGTTAAACTGAAGAATTAAGCTTACAAGCATATAGTCCATTCAATTATCTTTCATTTGATACCTCATTTTGTCTTACAAAAAGAAAATAATATTTTAAATAGTTTTTTAATCCCAACCTCTCACTTCTGAGAAAGTGAATAGCTACTTCGTAACATAAACATAACAGTGGAACAGGATAACGAATGCTATGAAAAGATAAAACAGAAGAAAAAGTAGTAAAATTACATTAAACTAAAACTAGAGTAGGCTGGTTTGATAATGAAGGCAGAGAGAAAGGAACAAAGCATGAATGATCATGTTACAAAGGGAAACCAGAAAGACAACAAAAGCATACAAGGAAGCCAGAAGGAAAAACACAAAAATGTATAAGAAGAAAAATAGCGAATCGGAAAAAGCTAAACTAAAAGAAATAGAAGACTTGTGAAGAGAGGGAAACATCAGAGGAATGTACATGAAGATAAAAGAGGAAAAGAATGGACATCAAGCCAGACCTCAAATGTGTGAGAGCCACAATGGAGAATTAATTACTGAAACAAGTAAAGTACTGGAGAGGTGGGCTGAATATTTTGAGGACAAACTGAATGCAGACAATGGACACGATGAAGATTACCAACCACTACATGAAGGACCAGACCCTTTAATAAACTCCCCAACTCTAGAAGAAACTAAAGAAATAATTAATTCTATGAAAAACCACAAAGCCCCTGGAGAAGACCTCATCACAGAGGAACTTATTAAATATGGAGGAATAGAATTACACACTCATGTACATCAACTTATAGCTATCATTTGTCAAGAAGAGAAAATTCCAACAGAATGGGAAACATCATTAAAAATCAGAATACACATGAAAAGGTTCCAAACTTCAGTTCACAAACTACAGATGAATCTGCCTATTTAATGTTACATACAAAATACTATTAAAACTAATTGCCAAAAAAAATACAACGTACCCTGTAGAAATACTAGATGAAAACCAATGTGGATTCAGGCAAAACAGGTTAACCACATATCCGATTTTCACCATCAGATGGTAAAAGTAAAAAGTATGAAGATAATATCCCCTATATCAACTCTATATGGGCTAAAAATGGCATATGACAGCATCAAAAGAAAATATATATATGAGACTCTGCCGAAGTTTGGCATACCCAACAAACTGACAAGACTGATACATGTAACATTGAAAAACTCAAAAAGCAAAATCAATGTTCAAGGAGGATATTCATGGGGATTTCACATTAGACAAGGCCTAAGACAGAGAGACTCAATGTCTGTCTACTATTGAACCTAACACTAAGGAAAGTTATTAGAAACATACATATTGACACCCGAGGAACAATAACAGGATACTTTCTGAGGGAAACCCATGACCAACAACCAATGGGCACTCTCTACAATCAACCCCTTCAGTTTCTTACATATGCTGATGCCATAGCACTGCTAGGAAAAAAATATTAAAGACATATCAAAAGCTTTTATTGACTTAGAAGACGCATCACTACAAGCAGGGCTGGAAATTAACAACCAAAAAACAAAATACATGACTATGATAAGATAAGAACAGACAAATGAAGCCATTAAAATTAGAAACCCCACTTTTTCAAAAGTAAATCAATTCAAATACCTAGGATCTTTATTAAATGAAAGCAACGAATTACCAACAGAAATCAAAGAAAGAATAATAATAATAATAATAAAGTTCATCTCAAAAACACGCTTCATCCCCATAGGCTCGAAGCGCGGTACAAAGTCAACAAAAAACAAATCTATAATTTACCACATTTAAAACAAACGCAACACTACAAAAACTAATTACTAGCATACAATGGCAAAGTCTTTCTAGCCATTTCAACCATACGCAACACAGCCATTATGCATTAACTGGAAAATAAGGTTGACAATCATCCCAGAAGGTGTTTGCGAAATAGATGTGTCTCTAAATCGGTTTTAAAGGACTCCAGTGTCTGGTTGTTTCTGAGATCGACAGGAAGGGCGTTCCAAATTGTTGGACCAGCAAATGCGAAAGTGCGCTTTCCGTAAGTCTCAAGGCAAACACGTGGTGTCGAGAGTTTGCCACTATCGGATAAGCGGAGCTCTCTAGTGGGTAAATATCAGCTGGAAACTTGGCGCTCTTCAGTGGTCAGAAAATACTCAAAAGTAAAAATATTACAAGAAAAACAAAGAAAACTATTTATAAAACTGTAATCAGACCAGTTGTAACATATGCAAGAGAACCTTGGACCCTAACAAAAACGGCAGGAAACCTATTAAACACATGGGAGAGAAAAGTTCTCAGAAATGATATGAAGCAATAAAGGATGAATATGGATGGAGAATACGAACCAACCATGAATTATACAGTCTATATCAGGATCCTACGATAGTGGCAGAAATAAAAAGGGCAGACCACGCTGGGCAGGACATTTAGAGAGAATGCCAAATGACAGAGGAGTGAAGTGAGTGCATCACCAAAACCCCAGAGAAATACGGCTCACAGGCAGACCTAGGCTTAAGTGGATGGATGATGTCGAAAAAGTTCTACAACAACTGGGAATCCAAGTATGGAAAATAAAAGCACTAGTTAGATCTGAGTTGAAGTAAGTAGTGAGGCAGGCCAAAGCCCTACATGGTCTGAAGCGCCACAGGGATGAGATGGACAGTGAACACTTCTTAAACAATATTTGGTAAATCTATTTTTTTAAAATTGAGGAGTTTCGAATCTATTCATCTATTTCCTACAGTTTTTGGAAAGATACCAGTGAAATTGGCAAATACATATTGAAGTACCTGTCATGTGTGTGAATGTCATGTTAGCATGTATTGGTGATATTTTCAACCATGCCTCCTCTCTTCCCGTACGCCCAATGCATTCGGAAAATATTTAGTACAAAGAGCAGAATGCCAAAGATGCTGCAAGGTTAATTTTTTTACAGGATAACCCTCCTCTCAACACGTTTCATGGTTTTATTTTGAATGTCTTGTTTGATTAAGAATTATCAAAAGGAATTGTGAAATTTATAGGAAACGTTTTTTCCCCAACATTTATATTTATTATAAAACGTAACATCAATAATAACATAAGAAACAAAGAACAAAAAAATCTGTTGAAAAGACGAAAAAAATCCAAATACTTTGTCTCTTTTTCTCTTTGTTTAATGGATAACGTCAATCACATGTAAAAAGTATTTGGTTAATTAAAACAAAATAAAGTGATTGGGCAGTTAATTGAAAAATTCTTGAACATGACTCGTTTCCGAATTGACAAGAGGTCAAATCTTCATTGTAACGACAACAAGTTCATTCGTATCACAGATTTTTACATTTTAAAAAATATATTTAGTAAATAATGCAGAAATCAATGCAGTTAATTTATCTTGAAAGCGTATGATTTCATAAAATTTAAGATTGGCAAATTTGCAGTGAAGTAACTGTGCATACTACAGTCCAAATCGGGCAAAGATTTGTGCCGACATCCATCCACAATTAAAACTCTGATGTTGGTAGAAAATTGCGTCCCCACATAAGAGAGTATGTTCCACCTCCTTTCCTATGCCCATGCAACGATGACACTAATAACACTGGGAATTTTTTTTTTTTTTTTTTTAAATTCAACAGTTTAAATCCCTGCTAAGTTAACGACTAAATTTTATGTTGATATGGCTTCAAAGATGTATTAAATTATTTAAATATAAGTATATGTTATTAAAAACAATTTAACAAACTCATACTTCATTCATAAAAATTACAGCTTTATATTAATAGTAATTTTTGAACATGTTACTTGTAAATTTATTTTGCTTATTATGTTTACGTTGCAACTGATGTTGAATTTATAATTGGTGAACAATTTAAATAGATTTTAAGATAAATTAGCTGAAATATCATGGACTATCGTTTATACAAGGCCTTACAAATGTCTTTTCTTTAACTACCCGATAACTCAAACAGTTTAAGAGAGCTTCATCAGTTGAGAGAAGATGGCCACAACCAACATTAGCAGGCTCGTGCTTATCACTGCAGCGCCATCTAGGGGTTGTGAAACAAAATGATTTATATTTATTTACAAATAATAACTTACAAATAATATAATAATAGCAATTATAAAAATTAAGGTCAATGATATGCAAATCATGATTTTAATTTCAATCCAAGTTATGTTTAATATTTTATGTATATTCTATTTGAATATTTTTGGCTTGTATATAATAATCTTGCCTTTAATTAAATTAATTTTAATAAAATAAAATAAATAAATATTTTCTTACTTTTGCAAGTGTCTTCTTTCACAACATAGTTTTCTGCACATACACAACGCTTTTTGTCAGGTAGGTCACATTTCCCTGAGAATACTGAGCCAGTACACTCCGTATCACCAGCACACAGCTTTCCCGGTGCTAAATTTAAATAAATTAATCGATCTGTTATTTAAAATAGATATGAATACTTCTTATTGAAAATTTTGATAGTTTAAGTTTCATTTAAATGCTATGTACATTTTTAAAACTCTGATAAGGCTGATCAATCAGACAAGATAAGATGTAACAAAATGTCTATATACTGTACAGTTATTTTTATTAAAAAAATTCTTTGCAACAGAGCGAAACGCAAAAAAAGTTGAAATAACAAAAAACGTAAACATGACAGACTGCTGTAAATTGATGGATTGATGCAAAATCTCTTTTTTACGACACTAATATCATCAGATTTAAAGCTAAAGATAATGTCATCCACGAAAAAATGTGCACATTCTATTCATTCACCCTGAAATATGTTTACAAAAGAAAGTTAATTATTAATAACATTCTTTTATTCATTCTTACGTGTATTTTAGGGTGACTGTGAAAATATCAAATAATATCCTCCCATTGTTTTCTTTAAAATATATAATAATACAATTATTTAATTATGGAATGGTAGCCCTTACATAAGAAGCCCATATTTTATTGCACGCCCCTGTAATTTATTAAAATTCTAAGACCCTCGGAAAATTCCGAATTTAAATCTATTCGTTTCAAAAAAAAAAAAAAATGTAGTGTGGTGTATTAACTATACACTATACAAATCAATAAATTATTTTGATTAATTTCGTTTTTAAAAAGTAAAGTCTGTTATCAGTCTTGTCAGTCACTGTTATTAAATAAACAAAAGTTAAAAATTGTGATTTGCATGCTTGAATAATTAAGCTCTCATAGGATTATTATTATTTTTTTTTCATTTTGTTAAGGCGAGAATGTTAATTTGGTATCGGTTGAAATCATTTTGTCAATCAACATCAATTTTAATTTAATTTGCAATATTAACAAAACAGAAGGCTAATAAACAACGTGTGTTCGGCTATTCCAGTTAAATGTGATAACGAATTAAGCAGATACATATATTTTTATCATACTTAAATTTATTCGCTTAGCGTAAAATAATAGCTTAACCCTATCAATTTTTTAAACGTTTCTCCACGTTTTAATTTTTTTTTTTTTTTCGATTTTAGCGTTATTTAGTCAGCCAGCTCATTCTTATAAACTAGAGAGAACCCGGCATGCGTTGAAACGCCACTCAAAGAAACAAACTTTGTGTTTTAGTTGCGTTTTTGAAGTAATTTTCAAATAGAAAATATTATTTTTTTCCTCATTGGTGAGTACCCTAATAAATTAGACGGGTTTTTGACACCTGAGCAGGCAACGTACGTGAGGAGCATGGATTTTCAAAATTTAGTTCACACGCTTGTAGTGATTGATCCACCAATGCATTAGATCTGTTTAAAATTATATTTATACTAGAAAGAGCCCACCAAACATTGGCGGCGTGAACTTCTTATGTAATAAAGTTGCTTGACAAAACAAGAACTCAAGTAACGCACATTATAGAATCACAATTTTTGCTAAACCCCTTCCCCCATGATACGTCACTGCACACTTTTCATTTTACACCCATGAACTATATTAAACGAAATACAGATGTCCCAACCACCTTTAAACCGAATATTTTTTACACAATACTTAAATTGAAACGATTTCATTTCCGAAATTAAGGCCCTCGGCGGCAAAAGCAAAATTATTGTACATTGTTGAACTAATTCAGAAACCTACTTATTATGTCACATACAAAAAGAAATATCGCTGTGTGTTTTTTAGACTCAATTCCATGCACCCATGCAATAGCTCTATTTGAAATTATATTTATATAGATCATGTAAGAATAAAATAATTTATGGCCACCAGCCCCAAAAAGAATACCTCAAAATAAATAACCTAATTCAGAAAGAAATCTTTGCAGGCGTGCGCATAACAACTAACCAAAGTTTTATCGCAATCGGATGAATGGTATAGGAGCGCATTCGGAAATTATATTTAGCTCATAAAAGAAAAAAAAGAAGTTAGGGCCCAGGGTCCAAAATGGAATATGGTAAATGCTTTTAATAATTCCGAAAATTTTTTCAGGCGTATTTCAACAACTAACAAAAATGTTATCGCAATCGGATTAATGGTATAGAAGCGCATACGGGATATACATACATATATTAATTTTTAAATATGGATATCTATCTATCTATCTATCATCTATCTATCTATCTATCTATCTATCTATCTATCTATCTATCTATCTATCTATCTATGATAGATAGATAGATAGATAGATAGATAGATAGATAGATAGATAGATAGTATCTATCTATCTATCTATCTATCTATCTATCTATCTATCTATTTATCTATCTATCTATCTATCTAATCTGTCTATCTAATCTGTCTGTTTGTCTATCTGTCTCTTTATCTATCTATCTTATATTTATCTATCTATATAAGGAAATCTTAACCCATCTCTATTTTTAAAATATAAAAAATTATTTTTCTAAGTAATTATTTTTCAAATAATAAGCATTATACAACTAATTTACACTACTATAACTATAATACATTTAAATTAAAATAGGGGCCCCCTTTTAGTATGTCTGAAATGGGGAAGGGGGCTATAAAATCCTTCAGATAAATTATACAGTTAAAATTTAAAATCTGTCCCATTAAAGTCGACTTAAAAATGCCATAGATAAGGCTTTTTAAAATTATCGAAATTTTTTCAAAATTCTAGATTGGATATTAGTTTTAAATCTACCGATATTTCCATACAGACTAAGAAGCGTAATGAACAAAGCTATGCTTAGATCCATAAATTCATATCTCGATAGAACCTATACCGTTGTCTAACCCTATTGATATTCATATAGCTTATGTAAGGAAAAATTAACTGGGTCCCCCGGCCCCAAAGAAATTGATATTATGAGTTCAGTACCCCTCGGTATTTGAATATGGATGATCATGTGTATGTGTACTAAGTTTGGTCAACAACCATCCATTCAGTAGGAGTATTAGGCCTATTGATATTTGTATAGCTTATATCAGGAAAAATTAACTGGGGCCCTAGGCCCCAGAGAAATGGATATTATGAGTTCAGTACCCTTCGGTATTTGAACATGGATTATCATGTGTATGTGTAATAAGTTTGGTCAAGATCCATTTATTCATGTAATGTAGTAGTAATTTAGTAATTTTACAAGTTTATTCGTACAAATTCGGTTACCTTTCACTATACTGGATATGTTTAAATAGTGCATAACGCTGCCATAGGTCTTCTTTTATTGTGTACGTAGCTTGCAGACATATCAAATGAGTTATAGATTTATTAATAAGGATACTGAAATAATTTTTATTCATATAAATTAATCAATTGTCACTTTAAAATGACCGGATTGTGATATCTTACCTACTACAGTGACAGGGATAGCCTCGCTATCCGCATGCTCTGTACCCACTACAATTTTACATGAGTAGCTGCCGCTATCTGTTGTCTTGGCATCATTGATGGTTAAAGTCTTCTTGGTTTCCGACAGTTTTTGTGCGGCACTAGAATGAAAGAGGGTTTATATATAAAATAATCAAATTTTAAAAATAAATTACTAACTTTTAATAACTTTTACTAAGAGAGACTAAATAAAGAAGATTTTCAAATAGGCAATTATTCGCGATGTTCTATTCCAGTAGCACACACTTACATGTCTCAAACTTAAGACCTTTTTTTTATTTTTTTAAACTTATATATAGCTTATTATTAAAGTTTAGAGTTTAAAGTTCTTAGATATTAAATAAGTTTATCGTTTTCTTCTTAGGATTTTAAATTTTCTTTATAATAGAGATTTAAAAATGTTTTATAAGAGATGTCGGTGAAATGAAGATTTTAAAGTTATGTTATTTTTAAAAAAACAGGTAAGAATTAAAAGGGGGTTTAAAAGCACCTAAAGCGTTCAAAAAAGCAGCTTTCAGAGAAATGTAGACATTCAAATTGTTATTCTTTCGAGAGGTGTTTACATTCTTTAAAAGAAATCTTCGAATATTCCCCAAAACGAAACGATCATCACCGACACCAATAATATTTTGTGTTATCCATCCATAGTCATAAATTAAGTCTGTCCTAAAAGTGATATTATGGAGACAGTATGAAATCATCCTATTCTGCAAATGATCTGCTGTATGGGTTTGGAGAATTCTTACTTTGACCATTCAAAAGTCGTTGCCGCTGTTACGTCCGTGTTGCACACCAAACTGTATGAGCTCCCAACATAGTATTTTTTATCTGGTGTTTCTCCGGAGATTTTTGGTTTACTCACTAAGATTTAATTTAAAAAATGAATTAATTTTCAAACTGTTATCTTTCTTTCTTTCTTGAATGTTTTTAGACATATTTTATACATTACATAACAAATTCGTATACAAATGTATAATTATATAGATGTTTCATTAAATAAATGTATGTTAAATTTACATATCAACCCGTCGCTATTTGTTTCGCCACTTTTAATGTTCAAATCAATTTATGAGTTATTTATCAATAATTTCATCAAAAGAATTGAAACGTAACGTGACAAAATACGTATGTGAGGAAACTTACATTCACATTTATCTGCGTTGGGTGAGTAGCCAGGGGCACATACACATTTGTCACTGGTGCATGTGTCAGCTACTGTATGCAGATCTGCTGTACATTTGGTTTTATCATTTGCAGGGCACGCTGGTTGTGCTCCACCTGTAAATCATATTATTAAATAGCGGGAATGGAAACTGAACGTTGAGACGAAGTTAAAACATTTAACATGAAATTAAGGAATGTGCAGAAAATAAATGTAATGCGAGGACAATCCCCACCCACTTCCTCAATGGAGGCAGTTCCTTTCTAAATAAGAATTGTACTTTCAAAATATAATTGAATCCTTTTTACTGTTTTACTTCATAAGAGTTGGTCGTTATATTTAGGTTAGTTACTTATTAAACTAAGTTTACGATATTTCCCATTTTCACTGGGATTTCCCAGTTAAGAAGCCTTGTCCTTACGTCCAGACCGGTTTGAAATGTTATCCCATGTCAATCTCGTTTAACAAAATTGAATGTATTCTGTCTATGTTTCATAGTCTGATAAACTTTGTTAATGTGTGAAATTGTTTATTGTCAAATTATATATTTAATGTAATTATTTTAAACGAATAAAGATAAAGATTGTCAAGTTCTAGGCTTGTGATACTCAATTAAAGTTTATTTATATGGATCAGTATCCGTTTGAATTTGAAGCGTTGTTGAATTTTAGACCTCAGAAAAATATTCCTCCTTAAGCTTATCAAATCTCTTCCCTTCAAATAAGAATTTTAAAGTAATAGGCTAGAATTAACCTTCAGTTATCATTGCATGCTATAATAAAGTCTACATTACCTAGTTGTAAAGAGACTAAAGAATAAAATCATTTTAGAAATTAATAATCGTTCTCACCCCTTATATGGCTGTTTGTAACTTGAATTAATATTTTTATAATCATTTTAGCTTTTTTTTGTCAGTTATTTTAATACAAAATATACTTACAACGTTGAACAAGAAGTAGTAAAGTAACCACACAAATATGTCTGAGCATGGCGATGAGTTTCTTCTTACGTCAGCACGTTGCAGAATGGTACACGACTGGTACACGCCTGGTACAAGACTTATAGCAATTTTCAAATGTACAGCACTATTTATACTTGTGAACTTCTTTATCTCAACTCTAACCCGCCAATCCTGGTACCTGTTATTGCCTGTTGGTATTTCGTTGATCGATCTAATGTAGGTGACAGGATTTAAGCAATCGAGATTAATAATTGGTTGAGCAATAAATACGTACGTATGGCTACTCTAAACATTTACTCAACTACACGCTGTAATATCAATTTCAAGTAAGATTAATATTGAAGCTACCAATATTATTACTTGGCGAAATTATACGAATATTATCTGGCATTCTTCTTCTTAATCTCTTGAAGAACAAGCTATTAAAGCTAGTATAATATAATCATATATTCAGTGCAAACTAATCAATCGTAAAACGAAAATTATAAGGTAATTTATTGGCTCTGAAAAAAAGTAAAATGTAAAAATTCAAACAACGTGCACGTATTTCATCAATTAATTTATATACTTACCCATCATGGCATCCATAACCGTATTTATTACAATACTAGCCGGAAGTTGTAATGGAGAAAAAGTTTCCAATACAAAATCACTTGAGGTGAGTTAAATAATAATGTAAAATTATAATGAGTCACCATGAATCAGGCATATGTAATATTAATATTATAGAATATGAATCCAAGGGAAATAACTAACATTACCGTAAGAGAAATATTCCTGACAACAGCGTGTTCAGTCACAACAAAGGGAAGCAAGTTGATTTTATATAGAATTATAACAATGTTTCCAACGTGTAGCTCACGCCCAACAGGGGGACAATTCGATTTTTTTTTGTTTGGGGGGGGGGGGGGGGGAGAAGAAGCTGTCTAGAATTTTAAAACCAACCGTCTACTATGATTTAACTTGTATTTTTGAAAAAATAGCAATATTAAAGTCTCTTTTTACTGCTCATACTGCAACTGTCAATCCTACTTTTGAGGCTAAGTATAAGCTTTCGTTACCCATCGCTAAATCTTGGAAAACTATTACTATAGGAGAGAATGTAATCAAACCATTAATATCAGCATTTTTTTAAATGGTTCTGGGAAAAGATTACAAAGACGTGAAAGCTGGGCCACTCAGTAAAAATGCTGTTACCAGAAGAATATACGAAATGAGTGAAGATATTGAAATACAACTTGTTGAAAAGCTGAAAACAAGAGAATTCTCAATGCGAATGGGGAATCAATATTGAGAGACAGTGAGCTATATTGATAAAGGGTATTTTGCTGAAGAAATGTCGGTCTGTAAATCATTAGAAAGCACCACTATCGACAAATATGTGTATATATATATATATAATCATTTAAAAAATTATTTAAATTTCAATAGTCAATAATATCAATAATAGAGAAATGAAAAAGATAAATCTTGTGCTGCAGAGGGTGTGCCTAATATGATGAGCAAGAAAAATAGCTGTTTAAAATTGATGAAAAATGAGAATCAAGAAATGCTATTTGTGCATTGTGTTATTCATAAGGAAAACTTCTTGCGCCAAAAACTTTTCGCCTGATCTAAATGAAGTAATAAATTCAGTTATAAATTGTATCAATGCTATTAAAGCTAATGGCAAATGAGAACGTGTCTTCGAGCTATTTGGCGAAGAACAAAATGCAGACATGCGAGACTTTACACCACACTGAAGTAAGATGGCTTTCGGAGGGAATTCCTTCAAAAGATTGATGGAACTATTCGATACTCTTGCGATTTTTTAAAGTGACAAAACTAAGATCGGTATGAAGTATCTATTAACAGTTAATTTTGAAACTTGTGTTAGTTATTTCGCCGATATCTTTGAAAAACTAAATTTAATTCTTGTCGATGTAAAAGCGATGATATTTGGATTCATTACATTTATTAAATTATGTCAGAAATATGTTTGTAATAAATTTGAAAAGTTTCATTGGCTCAAAAATGTGAAGTGACTGATAACGAGATACTTGTTATTGTCTTATACCTCTATACCTTTTATTGTCGATCATCTGGACATTATATCGGCTAATTTAAAAGAAATATTTTCTGATTTGAAAAAAAAAAGTTTTCCAACTGGATGATGCAGCCAATGTTAGTAGATTTTTTTAATAGAAAGTATCAAGAAGAACTCGCAGAAACGCAAAATACTTAATTATAAATGGAGCGAAGGCATGTCTTTTTGAGAAAACCGAAATCAAATATTCAAATTGAACCATCAAATGTGCAAGAAAACTTTTGTTACCGTTCCCATCTTTATATTTAGCTGAATGTGGATTTAGTGCCATAAATGATTTGTTGAAAAAGAAATCGGCTTGTTATAACAGAACGAGTAGACCTGAGACTGAAGCTAACGAAATTGGAAGCTAACATAAAATCTCTTTGCAGCAAGCATCAAGCACAAGCATCTCAATAAATTTAAATAATAAATAATTAGTAATAATTAATAATAATATACACAAATCTTTCTTCAAAATTAGTTCGTACTTGAATTTCAATTGTTAGTAAAACAAAATTATGCGTTCAAAAATAAATTTGAAACAAAATTTTAACGTAAAAACTGAAGAAAAAAAAAATAGATTCGACGAAATTTCCGTTCCATCAAATTACCGTCGATCAATTTACCGTTGACGAAATTTCTTTCGATCAAATTTCCGGAAGTGGATTTAATTACGTTCGGATTCCTAAAAACAATCATAGTTATTTTCTATTATTTTACGGAAATATTTACCGACTAAATTTAAATGTGCAAAAAATATTTTAAATCCGCTTTTATTTTAGTTTAAAGTTTAAGTATTATTATCATCAATTACAAATACATTTAAAGTATCAAATAAGGACTTATTTTAAGCATTGTATCCGAATGTAAAAGTTATGGGAAAAAAGTTAGTTAAAATATTATGATCTGAGGATTGCATCTTGATCACATTTATCGGGAAAACTCAAACATCTGTTTATCTTAGTTCGTATTTTAGTGTGTTGTTAATATTGCGAAATAAAAATAAAATTAGTTTGATCTAAATAATTACGCAAATGACGTCATAGCGCGATTGCCTATTTTAGCCACAGCTTTAAGTTTCTTTGATTTTATAACCTTGCGTAACAAAACTGATAATATATTTTACCATTCTTAAAAGTAAAAAAAATAAAAATTATAGATGGCTTTTTAAACAGATAAAATTTTATAAAAAATTAAATACAACTTTAGCTTGTATTTTTAACATTTAATAAGTTTTTACTTTTTATTCTTTCTAGAAAAAACTTTTATGAAAGTTATAAAGAAGTAAAAAACTTAACCTTTACATATACTTTTAATACGAAAATACCGTTTCATGCAATCAGCAAAACTACATATCTAAATAGCATTTACTAATGCACTTATCACTCATCCAAATAAGAACAACGCATCTGAAATGAGACCCCAAAAAAAGGCGTAAGTAAGGGTGTTACAATATTCTGGATAATTTTAAAAAAAAAAAAAAAAGTAGTGTTTGGGTGGGGGGGGGGGGGGGGGTCAAACGATAGTTTAAATAGCCCAAGGCATCACACGATACACCTCAGAATCAATTTGACAAATAATTAACCTTCTTATGTACATATATATCGGGGGAAAAAAAATGGTGTGCAGAATTTAACGTGGATGACAATATCTTTAAATCCAATAATATTACAGTTAACAGTTGTCAAAAATAAATGATATATTCTTATTTTACTAATTAACAAAATCAATGGCGTTAACAAAACGTAAGTACATTTACACAAGTGTACTCATGAATATCAAACCCCATCATTTTACACACGCGAAAATTTAATTTACAAAATAAAAAATATGTTAAGACTTTCTTAGACAGACAGACAGACAGACCAACAGACAGACAGACCGATAGACTGATAGACCGATAGACTGATAGACAGATAGACAGATAGACAGATAGACAGATAGATAGATAGATAGATAGATAGATAGATAGATAGATAGATAGATAGATAGATAGATAGATAGATAGATAGATAGATAGATAGATAGATAGATAGATAGATAGA